TGACTGGTAAACACCAACGCTTTCGGCCGTGCATGCAACACTTGACGTCAAGAGAAGTTGTGTCGACATTGGTAGCATGTGACGACGAAATCTAGAAGCATCGATGGACATCCAGCTATTGAGTTTCATCTACATTAAATGCAATGCAAAATATGCACCGCTCATTAAGTTTGCAACGCATGCAAATTCACATTTCAAACGGAATCGCCATCCTAGTATCTTTTAAAGCCTAGAGTAAGCTAAACTTAACGATCCAGGTGATTAAATACCTACGTAAATTTTACTCCCTGCCTATAAATCCAGTTGAGACATCTCCACAGGTTCAGAACGAGATAAGGCACATCCAGTACGTTCGTCACAACCCTCCACGGCGTTTTTAGTCCTGGTGCATCCTTGTAAAATCTAGCTCTGCTTCCACTGCACTGGCAATTACCTCCCTACGTCGATGAGCACAAACTTACATCAGCGACACAGCTTGGTCGAAATTAATGTAACGTTCAAGCATAAATGACTAGTGACTAATGAATGGCATTTCTTCCGTCTGTGATTGGTCGGTGCCAGCCGACGACGGTCGGGGCGGCATGCACGGGAACAGCGCGCGCCGGGCTTAACACTCACGGTGACCTTGGTGGCGTTTAGCGTCTTGATAAACTTCTTGAGGTACGGCCTCCGCGACCTTCGGTTGACCTCATCCTGCACGTGTTGCACCAGCTGCTGATAAGCGGAGTCGTGGATGTTTACTTCCACGGGATCTGATGCAGAGAGATCAATGCTAAACACAAGGCATTTATGGACTGCCCAACGCTGAACAGTACAAACGCCAGGTGTTTCTTTTTTTCGCAGAGAATTGCCCATATACGAAGAAATGCAGCCTTGTGTCTAATTTACAGCCCTAACTGCAAGAAAGTACTTAACACGCATGGTCATGTGGAACACATATTTAGCTGTAACCACTTAGTTGGTGACATTTTGGACCCAATAATGATAGCTTTTTAGCTTTTAAGGGTAGCTAACGCCTAAGGCAACCGATATGTCTCAATGAAATAGTAAGCAGAACGTAATGCATGATTTAGATAACACAGACGCATGTGGTCACGCGCAACGCGAGATCGTCCGTCATTCTGCTCTCCCTGGGACGCGCTTCAGCCGTGTGTGGTGCCGCGTGGGTCGCCTGATCGCTCGACGCGTCAGGCGTGGAGTGACCGGGCTTGGGTTTACGTTGCACCTCAAGACACGTGACCCCGCACATCGCGGCAGATCTAGAGCTCGTAGTATTTACATGCGACCACGTACCACGCTTACAGAGAGTGACAGAGGACTGAACCGGCGCAGGGCAGGCGTGCCGGAGAACGGGCGGTCGCTGCCTCCTGCTTAAGGACTAGGAACGCACACGACACTACATGGCTGAGGTCCTGCCGCAGCCCCAGCGTGGCGCACTGGTGCGCCGCCTGACCGTCCGCCCGACGCCGCCACCCCTCCCCCCCCCCGCCCCCGCTCACCGTCGGGGTACTGGAGGTAGGCGGGCGCGTACGGGTGGATCTGGCGCTCCTCGCATCGGCCGTTGGCACACTCTGGCTGCCGTTTGGAGGTGCAGCTGACGCTGTTGAACTGTAGCGGCTGGCCGGCTCTGTGCCGGGCCATCACCTGCCGGGCGCCGCACCGGCCTCGTCACCGGCACGAGCATGGAGCGCGAGCGAGGTCTGAGGCCCCGCCGTCATCCGCGCACAAGAGGAGAGCGGGGGTAGAGGCGACGCAACGTAGACGGTGGCATGAATACGATGTATCTGAATTAGTATGGATATCCCGCATGAATGGATTAGGTTACACGTTTCAGAACATAACACTGAAAAAGTTAAGAGTTAAAGTTAAGAGAGTGATGCGTGTGGTAACCTCAGGCTTAATGGAGTTGGCCTCCGCCTGAGTAGCCAGGAGAATAGTTATCCTGTTCGTGGAGGCCCCCAAGACTTTTTTCTATGAGATATCTGACGAACAATTTTTCAGGTGGTAACCAACGCTGAGGCAACTAAGTCTGCCGTGTGTTATCTTACAACTGTGTTGCCTTTTGCCCGCGATCGCAGGGTTTTAATTTTTTCCACATTCAAACCAGGTCAGCTAACCAAGATAAAGGTTCGTTCTTAAGACTGCACGTTAACGACTGGACTTTCTACCCCTGGAGATGCACTCCAGTCGCTACTGGAGTAGCGTTCCGGCAGATACCAACATGTGTCCAAACAAGTTGCGGTTTTTCAGTGGATGTCCGTTGCCATGTACTGCTCAATGTTGCAGTGGATACAAAGAGAGGCACTGAATCATCGTCGTTGAAAGGTTCAAATGTTTCCATTGGAACTTCTACATCCACGATGCAATTACATCGACGTAATCAACGTACATCCTGATTGAAACTGTAGGGCCATAGAAAGTTCAAGTCTTAGAAAGTCATATAGCGTCGTAAACTGGCCTATCGCTCCCGCATGCCAATGGTAGCATGTTTCGATTACAACTAGCCTTGTTCCGCAAGCATGTAAGCAGCTGAAAGAGCAAAAACGCGATTGACATCGTTCGACCCCAGCTGACGGAGACCGACGGAGGGAGCTGGCTGATAATGACTGAAACAAAAGTGGCGGATCAGGTACTGGGCTACCGCCCTGCTCTGCATTTTCCGCTAGCCCACGGAAAGTTGAATCTGCGACGGGGTCGTAACCCCTGCGCTGCAGAGGACGCTGAGAACGCTGAAGCCGGCGGAATTTCAATAACGTCACGCATGGCAGCACCACGTTATGAGGCAGGTGTGGTCTTCATTACCCGACAGTTGGAGAGCGGCTGGGTTCCTGTGGCAGCGCAGGAGTACCGGTGCGCGGTGCTGTTCCTCGGGCATTGTGACACGCCTAGCACAAACTCAAAACGGTACTTCGTCTCGGTAATCGCCTGCAAGAAAGCGAAAAATCGTCACCATAGCCTGCAACAGCGAGATGTCCAAGTCGTGGACGTTTTGCCATAATCAATTTCGATGATCACGGGCGAAGTCGGATTAATTCAACTTACGTTACAGCCGATTGCATCACCTACGCTGTTTCCTATTCCCTCCGTAGATGTTTACGCGACATGCGGGCCGTTCCAATACCACGTCACAATCCTCCCGGCCAAAGTTTGTGGCTGATGCAAGGTCATCCCCGTAGCTCAGTTACTTAGAGCGCCGCATAATGTGTACTTTACATCTGCACTATGAGAGTTCCGGTCGCAGAAATAACGTTTTGTTATCTAACCCGCCGGAGGCAATTAATGGGTAGCTGACCATTACAGGGAGGCGTCTCTCTCTCTGAAAATGGTTTTAACACGCCACCCCTATCCTGGACTCCTAGATGCCATTTCTTCCAAGTGACATCACATAATGGGGACGGCAATGCTTGCAGGGTTGACCGCGTTCTTGGCATTACGTTGTACGTTCTTATTTTTTGTCAGCCAGACCTGTTCGTTCACCTGAAACTAAGGCACTAGGGTACAACTCATTCTGACGTATTAACGACCTGCATCACAATAACCTGGATATCACTTCATTTTACCGGACAGGTATCTCCACAAAGAAAAAGCTGGGGCAGCCTTTCCATGTAATTTATCTGCTCAAGATAGTAGTCTCAAGTTTCATGAAGGGCATGTTTTCAAAAACGCCAGATTCGGTGACCGATTGGTGCAGAACTGTAACGTATCGTTTTGAACTCATAATCGATATTTGCCTCGATACCAAGCCGGAAGTAGCGGCCAATATGGAACTTTTTCACAACCCCAGCCCAGAACAAACTGGCGAACTAACATCCTTGACGCTTCTACATCAGAGCGTCCTTGTGCCTTTCGTCCGGCCGCTGTCTCAATGACGCCACGACGAACTAACGTCCTCGACGCCTCCGAATCAGGGCATCCTGCTGCCGTTCGTCCGGCCGCCGCCCCAATGACGTCACCTGTCGGGTGGCCGACTGGATGTCCGTGATGACCAGCCGCTGCGAACCTGCCCGTTCCTGACTCTCCAGGAAGCCGTGCAAGATCTTCTGCACACGCGGGTGGGCTACGTTTATCGGCACTGAAACACACGACGGTGTCGGATTACCATGGTAAAGCAGCGCTAACGCGAACACACTGGGATTCAGCCTCAGCCACAGCCCCTTATTCCGAAGGAGCCCCCAGCCTCGACGCTGCACGTAACTATGGGCGCCGGATAATGCGCGCACCTCACCATCATCCAAATCTACAGAACCTTAACAGACTTCTCAGAACCTGACGTAACTAACCAGATTATCTGTCTACTTCTTAACCTGGTCCTCATTTTCAGTCTTGAATGTGGGTTTGCATCACGCTGCAACGCTGAGCCTGGCTGCCCAACCATCATTGACTTTATATGAACAGATCGACAGATATGACGATAGGTGAATGATGAGTGGCGGAGGAACCGATGCAGGTTCCTGCAAGTAGGCAACTATGTACCAACGCACAGACAGTCACACACAGGTGTGGCAGAGCCTGCGGCCGAGGTCCGTACCCTCCTGCGACATGTACTGCCGGCTGGAGCGACAGCCCGAAGAGACGGGTTCGGACGGTAGGTCCTCTAGCAGGCCAGGCTCCTCCCCCGGGCCCTGCCAGCCCTGTCCCCGCAACAGCGCCTGCACGCGCAGCGATTGGGCGCTGCTGGCGTGGCGCTGTTCGGCCCGCTGCTCCAGCTGCGGCACCTCCGCCCGCGCCGTCAGCAGGTCGGCGCCCGCCGCCGGCTTGGCCCCCGGGGCCGGCTCGACGCCGTCGGCGGCCGGACCGGCCGGCTGCGTCCGGCGCCGCTGGTGCGTGATGACGGCGTCCAGGCCCATCAGGATGTCCAACAGGCTGTCGCCGGGCGCGATGGCGGCGGCCGGCGGCGGCTCGGACGTTGCCGGCGGCTCGGCCGTGGCGGCAGCGAACAGGCCGCGCAGCCCCGCCAGCTCCGACAGCTCCATCTGGCGGCGGCGGCGGCGTCACGCGCGTTACGGGAGTCGCGCTGGCTGGTGGCCGGCATCACGAGCACGTGCCACAGTTGCGGCTGTGGGAGGTCGTCGGGTCTAGGTCGCTGATGGGATATTCTAATTCGCGTGGTAAGAACCGGGACATTTACTGGCACCCATCATCGAAAGAAGGACACTTTTCACTCAGGCTTTTCTCCATGTTGGTTCAGCCCACTTTTGATGCGATCAGGACTATTGGAGCCACTCATGTATAAGACTGGAAAACGGAGCATCACCCTACCGCCGTCTTCCAATTACAGGAACCCCGCATCGCGGTCATATTATACATCTTTCTTAGATCATGAATTGCAAGGGTTCGAGGATGCAGAAAAAATGATGTGGTCTAGACTTTATTCAAACCTGCCTACTCGTGCCGTCGTTGCGCCCGCCCGTGCTCTCACCTTCCTGAGCGAGATCAGCTCCGTGTTGGCCCTGTGTGGCTGATGCAGCATCTCAACGCTGTAGATCACCTTCTCCGCGTCCTCGCCCACGTAACAGAGCGTGAACGGCGGCACGGGTCGCTCGCACGAGGTGGACGCCAGCTCCAGCGTCAGGAAGTACTTGATGCCATTCACAATCTGCGGAATATGATGGCGATTGATGTCAATCACGTGTTAGTGCTTCTTCAACAACAAGATAATTTCCAAGGCACAGCAATAATAAGATGACGACGCTGCATTTACGCAGACACGTCAAACTACTTCGCAATCCGGCAGAGGCGACTGTCACCATGTGGCTAGCACCGATCGTGACTGCCGTCTCTGCTGTTTGCAGCGACGAATTTTTGCAAGATTTTAAAAGCCTTGCAACAACGTGCAAGAAGCGTCCCCCATCTCATACTTTGCAACTCCTCCCACGCGGACAAGTCGCCTCGCCTGTCGCGCGGCGTGACGCGGCGCCACACCTGCTTGCTGGCGCGGTACACCTCCGTGACGCGGAACGAGAACCGGGCGTCGAGCCTCTCCTCCAGCAGTTTGGAGGCCATGTTGGCGACGCGGCGCAGGTCGGCGCCATCGTGCAGTATGGGCGTCACGCAGCCGAGGCAGGGCGCCGTCTGGTGGCCGTCAGGGGGGGGGGGGAAGGGTCACCACGGGTCGGACCGGAGCAGGGGCGCGGAAGAACCGTCACGGGGTGCAGAGGTCACGCGTCGACGCGTGCAGCGCGTGACCGTACCGCCGCAGACAGACTTCCACGGGTTTGAAAAGTGATCTGCTTCGGTCGCACGGACATGGCGTAGCGGTCTGTCAGACTGGTGCGGTCGGAGTCATGTACCAGTGTCGAATATCATTTTCGAACTTAAACAGAATCGCAGACAGCACCAGGCTGATCGCAGACAGGAGCACGCTGATCACAGACAGCACCAGGCTGATCGCAGACAGCACCAGGCCGAACGGCTCAGAATCCACAGAACCCACAAAATTGCAGATAACAGACTGATCCACACAGAACCGTAGGGCCATGAACTTAAGAACTGTAACGGCTAGAACATGCGCAGGTTCAAAGACGACCACGCATTCTCAGGTGCCCATAAAGACCAAACTGGACTGAGCAAATTAGACTCACACACGCATACCGACTGTGGCATGCAGACTTTCAACAACTTGCAACACTTCTAGACCTAGATCCCTCCAGGCCTTAGAAACAATCTAGCCGACTTTTTGTTGTGCTTCCTGTTTTCAGATCATAATATCTACGGAGAGACACGAAGACGCCCGATCACACCATCAAAGTGATTTCATTTCCAGGGGCTGATTTTGCTCACATATTCTAGTGTGCCACGCAGAACCACGCCACTGTCGCCCTGTTCCGGCCTGACTCTCTTGGCCGATTGCCAACTGAATTCAAAGACAAGCCACATGAGGGTAACTTCCGGGACTCAAATTTACATGGACGTTGGGCGACGGCCACCGTCCACCGCACCAACATAGGAGCTGCAACAGTAGGTAAAGAGACAGGAGCGGCAGAAGGCTTAAGAACTGTCATGCTCAGGCGGTCACAAACCCGTGGGCCTTATTATACGGTGATGTGCAGGTGAGCGCTTTGGGCCCAAAATTCAGTCAACAAACAATATCATACGTAATGGGCATACTGAAGTAGTAGCGTGGTCAATAATCCCACGGGCACATTGGAATTGCCGGTCTGCGTTTGTGACTGACCTTTGAGAGCATGAGTAAGATTAAAAAATCAACACTGCTTTTGAATTGCCTGGTCACCTCACTGTGCAGTTGAGAAAGGAATTAACAGCAAAACAGTGCATGCACTTTTCCACATTCAGCAGCCTGGAACATAATTTACGAAAAAAGATAGAAAACTTCAACCAGGGGGACAAATACTGCAGAAAGTGAGTAAGCGCTAGCAATAAGAACACGGTCCTGCGCAAAAAAGAATTAATCCAAATAAGTTTTTAAAAAAACTCGCTTTGTTGTAGGGTAACACCAGGACAGTAAATGTAATGCGCGACACCAGGACAGTAAATGTAATGCGACTGACCTCAGCCACGATGACCGGCTCCTGGACTGGCTGGCGGCCGGGTGCCGGCAGCGGCACCTCGTTTGCACTCAGCGGAACATCAGCGGGGGGCTGGTCGGCACCAGGGCCGGCCTCTTCCGGGGCCTCATCCCCAGGCAGGGTGGGCACCACTGGCACCCCGGTCAGGCGCACCGGCACCACCACCGTCTCGGAAGTGGTGTCCGCCTCCTGCACCAGCCCCTCCACTTGGCCCAGCCCCTGCTCAGGCTCCTGCTCCTCTGCCTGCTCCGGATCCTGCTCCGATTCCTGCTTAGGTTCCTTCTCCAACGCCGGCTTCTGCTCGGACTCCTGCTCCATGGTGCTCCATGGTTCCACTGCAGGTTCCTCCTGCAACTGCTCCGGCTCCGGCAGAGCCTGGTCCTGCCGGGACAGCAGGTCGGCCAGCGAGTTGAACAGTTCGTCCTTGCGCTCTGTCTGCTCGATGTCCGATGCAGCCGTTTCCAGCGTTTGCAGGCCCGGCTCCGGCTCCGGCTCCGCAACCGTCAGAGGAGCATGTTCACCCGACCCTTCCGGCTCCGGCAGCTCGGCCGGCACGCAGAAGACGGTGCCGACCGCCAGCAGCGGCAGCAGCAGCAGCACGGCAGGCCGCGACAACATGCTGGGCCACTTGCACTCAGTTGAGGCCACACCGCTGGCGGGGAGACTAGTGCCTCAGCTGAAGCTACGCTGCCGGCTGAGATGCGCCCCGCTCCGGAGCCTGACGGCTGTCGCGGACCTCTGTCGGCGTCGGTTGACGTGCGGACCCGAGGTGGGCCTCCGAGCGTCTGCGCTGGCCGGCCGGTCCTCCGCCGTCGCCGCCGCCGACTGCGCAGACCGGGGGCCAGGGTCAGCTCGACACCGTACGGACGACCTGAGCCGCGGCCGTGACCGCCGCCGCCCCGGAACCGGGCTGACGGCCTGCACTCCGCGGCCCGCGCCACACACAGCGACGGACGACGCTGGCGGCCCGGGCGAGGCTCACACAAGGGCTCCAAGCGCACTCAGGCGCTGACCACATTCCGCAGGCCACGTGCCGATTGTGATGCAACGCTGCCGGGCTCGTCATGGAAATCGCTCGCGCCTGAATTGGCGTCGTGTAGCGGTGTGTGCAACGATATGGGCCTCACGGGGGCCGCTGTAAGTTTGTATGACGCGGGTCGCAGACTTGAGACGCAGCCAGCGTGACAGGCCGCTAATGATGGGCATACCGTGAATGTCACCGGCGCGCTTTGGGCGGGGACGTGAGGCTGATCAACAGAATGTCGCCAGAAAGTCGCGACGCTCGTCCCCGCTTGGTCGGCACGCTTCACATTCCGTCCATCAAAAAACGATGCGACGTCTCCAGACGTAGTGGCCGTATGGATCACATTCGCCGTTGACCCGTGCACTCCCAGCATCCCGGCATGATGACAGTCAAAACAGTGATTGCTCAACGAGTGAGACTGATGATGCACCCGATGCACCCAGGCCCCCAGAGCAGGATGGCTCTCTCCATGCGGGGATAAAGGGCGTTAGTTCTGGTGAGCCAATCTGTATCGCATTGCCTAAAAGCGACCATAAGATCAGAGGTGGCTGTGTCTCCAGTCAACGAATTTCTGCATACCAACGTGTCGACCGGTACTCGCATACCGGGCAAATCCAACACATGCGGCTGCAAGCGACTGCATGCCACGGTATGTGCCAGACTATGGCTGCTGCCGACGCTACACCTACAAACCGGCAAATTTGCATGGACGACTGAACCTCTTCAATTCAGATGCCTGGTTTCATGGAAGTCACGGGAAGCTAACTGATTTACCGGCTCCAGGAAGAAATCGCCTTGCAAGTTTGTCGTTACCCTTCGGAGCACCACAAGCTCATAGTTCTACGAAGTCATCCTTGGGCCCTTAACACGCGCTCGTGCGGGGGTCAAATTGACCTCCCCAAAGTTTTCCAGAATGGTTTCCGAACGACGTGGCGCAGTCGCGCCAAATTGTGCATAGCTGTAGAAAACTGAATAACGGATCGTTTGATCAAAATAAGTTAGATGTACCTAAGGTCACCGACCTTAAATGAGATTGTGATCTTTTGCTTACTTGCCTTATGGGGGCACTTCGGAAACCAGCCTGGAATTTGACTTGTTTCACCTAATTTGACCTTAAGGTCATAAACTAGGAAGCTCAAACTTTAACCTAAGTAAGGTCACCTACAGGTCAACACATCCTGTAAATTTGGTGTCTCTAGCTTTCTCAGTTCCTGAGATCTTAGGGGGCCAAATTGACCCCCCACACCCGAGCAAAGGGTATCTAGCCGGCCAACCGGGCGCGTGTTAAGCACTAATTAATGCTTAAAATATAGTTATCTCGCGTTTTCAATTGAAACTGTCATTACTTGAAGCCAAGGGCCTGAACCCACCAACAGCTTTTTCTTATTCTATTTTCCATGCAGCGAGCACCCAACTGTAATCCCAAACCAAGCCACTTTAACACGCGCTCGGGTGGCGATCAAACTGACCCCCAAAGATTTTTTCCGGAATGGTTTCCGAACGGCGCGGCGTAGCCGCGCCAAATTTTGTACAGCTGTGGGCAAATAAATAACGGATTGTTTTATATCCAGAATCTACATGCACCTTGTAAGGTCGCTGACCTACGGCAGGTCAAAATCAGGCCATCGATTCAGCGAAGTCAATTTCTAGGGAATCGTTCAACCTGATCCAACAGCGAAGTGTTAAACGATGTCATACATCCCTGAGATCCTTTCTAAGGCAAAATGACAAGTTAATGACCAAAGCACATTAAGCTAGGGTCAGGTATAAACACTAAGATCAAAACCAACTTGTTTTATCACTCTAGTGCTTCGTGTATGGAGTAGTTTTGGTGCTCACTTTAAATTTATTGATAACATTAGCCACATTTAACTTCTTACATGGATTTCTTAAAGATCAGAATGGGTCACTGACCTAAAATGGCTCAGATCAACGTTTGTTTTTGGGAACATGCTGCCTAGCATAATCTTTATCGTTTATTCAAATGCAAAACTGAACGCAGTGCTGTATGATTTTGGTCACCATGACCTTCAAAAGGTCAAAGACAAGGTACCAACCTTAAATGAACATGAGACTTTTGCTTAGAATAAGTATCTATGTTCTGCAGACATTTTGGAGAGCAACCTAGAGTTTTACCTTGTTAGGCCTTATTTGACCCGAAGATCATGACCTAGGAGCCTCAAACTTCGTCCTAAATGAATTCACGTACAGGCCAACACGCCCTGTAAAATTGGTGTCTCCAGCTCTCTTTGTTCCTGAGACCTTAGGGGGGGGGGGGTCAAATTGACCCCCGGTCAGTCATGCTTTTAACGGAGTTTTATCTCCGCGACCCCTGACTTCAGAATCATGCACAGCTTTAGCAACAAACAGAACGAACCATGAATGTTAAGCCGTAATATTTTGACAGAATTCGCTCGTAATATGTTTCACCAGAGCGATTTCCCCATTACGTGGTATAGCAGCTTCAAGACAACTTCAACTCTCCTTTTTGATTAATCGGAAACGTAGGCTTTGCCTAACACGCTAGAGAATGCTGGTGCAAACCAGGCTGGGATGTCGATGCTCCAGCTCTGACGCGGCTCCAGACTAGCGTATTTTAGCTCAGGAGAAATGAAATCTACAACGTGCGGAATGAAATTGACAACGAAATTGACAATGGATGCGTGCCGCCGGTCACGTACTCTTCAGCGCAAGCCATTGATCTGAAGTATTACGTCGTTTTTCTAACTGATGCCACAGATAGGCAAACCGAGTAGATGAAAATGAAAAGAAAACAATAGCCTGGTGCCAGCAACTGCGCCGTCGACAAAACCGCGGCCGATCTCAGCACTACTTGACTCATGAGTGAGGCGGGAATAGACCGGGAGGCGGTCGATGTCATATTTTCTCAAACCAGCCCGAAGTACATCACGATGCGATAGTAACTGCGGGCCGGAAAGCTTGACAGGCAGCTAATCGTAATCAGTAGTCACTTAGAATATTTGCCTTTTTGCAACCCCTGGGGCACACGCAACGCAACGTGAACCATTGCCAAGTTCTTAAATTCGTTTATCAAAACTGTCAGGCCTTACGCGAGATGGTTTACACCACGGCTTGGAGCCTTGCCAAGCCCAGTCAGACGGGCTTACAGCGCGCATTTTGGAAATTTGTGCGCGAAAGCCAAGGAACCGGAACCCTTGCCCCTACGAACGAGGTGTAAACGAGGTGAGTAAATGCGCCCTTATATACTTTATACTTTATACTTTACTCTATATACTTTATACTATTTGCTCCAACTTTTTGCTCCAACACCTCGTTTGCCTGGGGTAGTGATGATGTCTTGCGACAATTGAAGCTTTGCACGTACGTTTGGCTGGTGGCGTCATTAGTACGAGCATTTAACAGCATCACGCGCCTCGTTGCAGTGAGCAGGCGTCCACAGATTACGTTGCGCATGGATGGGCAGGCTTGTTATGGAGTGCAATCGAAGCGTGATAAATGGAAGGGTATGAACAGCCTAACGTTACGCCAGGCGTAGATGCAACTCACCCCAGACTTTAAAGGTTTTATCAGGGTGGCAATGCGAGTTGGTCTCCTCCATTGTAATCAGCGCGTAACCAGAGGAAGCGAAAATGACACAAGATGCATTGCGTAATTTTTTGTCGACCCCTCAGCAATCTTACCATATGCATCATTCACATTATGCGCAGCAGGGGCAATGCCACAATAACAGGCCTGAACCACACAATAACAATGCTGAACCACGACCGCGGTTCACATATCATGACGAGCACGGGCGGCGTCCATCACCACATCCGCTGCAGTTTGGGGCGGACACGTCGGCCCATCCGCTAGTTTGGGGCGGACATGTCGGCCCATCCGCTGCAGTTCGGGGCGGACATGTCGGTCCGTGGCCCGCTCACCTCGAGCGCGCTGCTGCTGCTGGCTGAACCGGACGCCGACTGTCGGCCGGCTGGCGGTCTTTAGTGGCGGCCGGCCGCCTGCTGACACGGTGACCTCATCGCCTCCCACCTGACCCGGCTAGCCCACGCGCCGGTACCAGCTGCGGCTCCGCGCGGCTCGCTCCCCGCCGCGGCTGATCTCCGAACGCGAGCCGGCGCGGCGGCAGGCGCGCGCCGCCTGACACTGTCCAGGCGCAGGCGCAGGCGCAGGCGACGGCTGCAGTGGCACGCGCGCCGGCGCCGGCGCCGCACCGCCGGACGGACACCCCTCCCCTCCCCTTCCGGCTCGGGGAACACGCGACGGACAGATCTCCGCCAGTGGCTCCTCCCTCTCGCCCACTGGAGATCGCAGACTGCTCACAAGAAGGCGCTGACCAAGGTCGCCCTTTGACAGGCTCAGGTGGGACGTCAGCATCGCGCCAGGTTACGCCGAGTTCGTGACTGAGTGATTACAACTCGAAGGGCTGCTACGTCAGTCGAGTGAGAAGACATTGCGTTCACTGAATGGATTGATGAGGGCACTGCAG